TTCAAAATTAGCGCCACGAGTTCAGAGCTGCTACGAGTAGGTAAGAGTCCTCTCCGAGCTTTCCGAATCGTCCTACGAGTTTTTGCCGAGTTAGCAACTCGGCATCCTCTTGTAACTCGTATGCTGAAAAAAACCCTGGTGGGAGAGGGGCTTAAGTTTGACCGTGTAATTTTTTGCTGTTCTTTGTTTTTGTTTCTGCCATTTTTGTTGGGACCTCTACGGAAACAAGCCTCAGGGCTTATAGAGCTATCCTCTGCATTCCTTTCTCATTATTCTGTTCACTGAATTATGTTGTTATTGCCATTTTTTATATTATATGTTGATATTGGAGTGCAGGAAATATTACAGAACAAAACAAACAAACATGAACAAAATAGAGAGTGACAAAAAAAAAATAAAATTTGGGGAGACCAGGGTCAACCAAAGTGAACCAAATCACTGTAGAAAAGACGGTTGACCAACCCCAAATTCAGCAACACACACAAACAACAAACATTACAACGAATCAAAATAATTATGAACTTTTACTAAGAAAGGAGGATGGGCTGTCTAGGACTACGGCGTCAGTTAACAATCTAGCTACCTGGTCCTAGACACGAAACAACCTGATGGATACTGTGTGGAAAAATGCTTGGGTCCTTGATGCTTGATGACGAAAGCGCAAACGATCGTTATGTCTGATATTGATTTCAATACCATCATGAACTGTGCTGCAGTCTAGAAAGCCCGCCAGAACTTGTGATGCTATGTGATACCATTGCATCATAAGCTAAAGATAGAAATTAAGAGTCTCCCAAATAGTCTCCACATAAGTGGTAAAAAAAATAATCAATGTCAAGCAGTACACACATGCTCCCACTGGGAGCCTATTTTTTGAGCAATTCAATCGTTAATTGAATCATATGTTTATTGATTAAGAACTAATAAAATAAAATGTTTTTGTTTTTTTCAGCTGCTGTCTTCAACAATGCTAGGCAGCACATAAATGTCTATGGGGATGATATTGAAGTTGATTATAGAGGCTATGAGGTTGGTGCTCAGGTTTTCATCTGTTGATTTGTCCTCCGTTGCATTACAGTTAACATCTCAACGAGATTTGATTGACAGATAAACCGACAAATCAGCGAGTGTCATTTAGTCACGTGATCAAAAACTTTTTCTCTGACATTTTAATTTCCTTAGACAGCTGGTTTAAATGCGAAACATACGTGAGCCTAGGCCTAGATGCCTATGCTTGGTTATAGATACCCAGATTTACACGAGCAGTGCGCATCAGTGACTTGGCCTTTGCCGCCAACAAGGTTGACTGAATATGGCTTTTCCCACTTCCTTTGAGAGTGAAATACAGAGGCTTTTACAACAATTTCCCCGCCATGTTCCATGAAATAGATTACACTATGAATATATGATTCATTTGCATACTGCCTACCCTGAATTCTCTTTCTTAAAGAAGGTTGATAGCAAAGAAAATCTTCGCCAACTCGGTAATTCTAGCCGCCATTGTCTAAGGTTTTCGTGACTTTGTGGGCGGGGCTTCGCATCCTTGTTGACATGTCAATTATTATTTGGTGTGAGATGGAAAATGTTTGAGACCTTCAAATGCTGTAAACACTTGCTTGTGTGTTTTGGTAATACACTTTGCTCTAATTACTTTGCTCTTCAGATAGGACATTTAGCTGTTGGCTATGCTCACGCTAGCCATTCGCCAATTCGCAAACGCGAATTGAGAAACTGTTTGGTGAAAAAAAAAATTGAAATCATTTGCCTAAATGGCGAAAGCAAATTTTCATATAACCAAATTTAATCTTTGTCTAGGTTAGGCCTAGGCTAGGCTCTTAAGTAATTACTATCTCGAGCAGAGGAGATATTGCCTCACTAAGCGACCCTATTTTCACCTCATGTGCAGCAAAGATTTATAGGCACTGTCAAGTACATGTGGAAAATCCCAAGATAGATAGATCATTCTGGGCATGCGTATGGACATGCATGGGCAGTTTTAAAGCAAACAGTCTGATTATTGCCTGCACATAACACGTTAAAACTTATCATTCCCATGATAAAGAGAACGCTAAAACATTTCTCCGGCGATTTTGTTAAACATAGTTATAATACAATTAAAAATAATACATGTGTTCTTAAAATCTGAAACTCTTCTAATTCCGAATGAATTATTAAATCCAAACTCGCTAAAACAAGATGTAGAAAACTCAGTTTTCCCTAGCAAGCATTCTTGTGCTACATCTTGTCTCATTTTCAATCTGGTATTACAATAGTTTGTTATATCTTCCATTGAGAATCTGTGATCTTCAGTGTTTGGAAAGATCTTGCTTCTTTTTTTCACAAGGTGACTGTTGAGAACTTCATTCGGGTACTGACAGGACGCCTTCCCCCAGGCACCCCCCGCTCCAAGAGGTTATTATCAGATGACCGTAGCAACATTCTCATTTACATGACTGGTCACGGTGGTGATGGGTTTCTCAAGTTCCAAGATGCTGAAGAAATCTCAAACGTGGAGCTGGCTGATGCATTTCAACAAATGTGGCAGAAACAACGGTGATTATTATGAATTTATTATTAATTTATTTATTACTAATATTATCATTATTATTTGTTATGAAAGATACAGTTAAATATCATAGTTTTGATATTTAGTAGTACTGTATAATTATTTGAAAAGAAAAAATAACGGTTTGTAGTAATGCAAGTAAAATGTACCATGAGGAAGATCGTGTGCGGATGTGCAATTTATGGTACTGAGTGAACAACTTCTGTAGGGATAGTTCAATAAGCAGCGGGGGAATCATGTGGGGAGGGGGGATGGATTCAGCCAACCTGGGCCACTTTAATGTTTCAAAATTATAAAAAAAATAAATGGAGAAAAAAGAAAATTATATTGAAATTGAAGTCTTAGAGTGCCATAATCAAAAATTTTCTTACCTCAGTCCCAACCATGGCTGGGGGAGCCAGGGCTTAGGTGCTATGGACCCCCATCTGTGAAAGTCCCTTACTGGGCCCCTCTATATCAAATCCCTAGATCCGCAAGTGGTAGATTTTAGAAAATCCATAGAGATTAGAAGGCTATGATCTGGCCCAAGACAGATTGCAGTGAAAGAGTGCCATCATGTGAACCTGGCTAACCCTATGCCAGAATGGAACACAGACGTTTAACTGTGAATAATGGTGGTGGTGGTGGTGGCGTCAGTGGTGCAGGCCAATATAGTTTAGTGCTCTGTGTTTGGGTGTGGTGTTCAGGGGTGTGGTGTTGTTGAGTAATAATGTATAGATAATCATAATGGTACAGTAGACTGGATTTTAATTTTGAATTTGACCTAATTTGTAGATATCATGAGCTGTTGTTCATTGTTGATACTTGTCAAGCCAACTCAATGTACCAACGTTTCTACTCACCTAATTTGATTGGTATTGGAAGCAGTCAAGTTGGAGAGGACTCTCTGTCGGTAAATATAATTTATTGTTTATGGCATGTCTATGTTTAGTTTGGTTTAGAGATTTTGTAACTTAATCTTAAGCTGTGTCCAAAATAAAAAGTTTTCTGTGACAAATACCTGTGATTTGCCTATACA